TTTGTTTTCTTGTATTTTATCGCTCTGCTGACCCTTGGGGTCCATTTTATTTTGGTATACCTTTTCTAGGTACGTTAGCCTGTGACCACGGAAATTGGCCGAGTCAAGTGATGGATTAGTACGGAGAGATTGAGACAGAAGGAGGTACTGGATAGAGAGACCGGGATGGTTTTTAATGTGAAGACAACAACAACAACAACCGGAGGTCGGTTTCGGTGGGCTCCGCCTTCCTTGATCCGATAGCGTTATTCCACCCTCTGCGTTGGAAGATTCGGACTATGGGGATTTTCGCCGACATCGACCACGCATGGACGAGCTTGAAATTTTGCCTCCTTCTGGAGACGATTGCAGGAGTCCTTCGGGAGTTTTCGCGGTTTCGCCCGCTTCTGGAGGTACTTTGCCTGTTTCTGCGTCTCCGTCCGTACCTATCAGGTCGCATTGTCCACGCCGACGTGTCCACGTTTTGTCTTCTTTGCCGGAACAAGGACCCCTTGTTTCTTCGAGGACTAGGGCCAATACTTCAGCTGCGTCAGGTTCTCCTGTCGCTGGCCCCACATATTTCAGGCGAAAGCCAAGGGCTACTGTAGTCCCTCGTGCTCCGTCGCCTACTCGTCGCCCTAGCAGGTCTCGTCAGCGGCCAAGGCAGCTGGTACTAATCCCCGCTTGTCTCGGATTCCCGCGACGCCTACATCGGCGCCTTCGTCGACTATTTCGGTACCGCCGGTGAATTCGTCGTGTCTGCGACCCCTTCTACCCCGGTTTCGCCTTCTTCTAGGTCGTCACCTCGGATCGCGCATTTTTCTTCATCTTCTTCGGCCGGTTCGTCAGGATATTCTTTCGATCCAACCACCGACGATTCTTCCTATTTTCAGGATTGTGTCCAGAGTTTTAACACTGTGGATTGGGCTCGGGAACAACAGCAAGAGAGTGAGTGCTGTAGCCATGCGTTTTCTCTCCCGAGGTTCTCCCTCCCCACCTCCGTCGGGTTTGTTGAATGTACCTGCCCCCCTTCGCTCCCCTGAGCTACCGGATGTGTTGGCATTGGCTTCAAAAACGCGGTTGCATACAACCGACGCCAACATCACGCTTCTTTTTCATAGATCGTCGCCTCGGTCGGGTGGGCGTGTTGGAGGTAGGACCACTCGATTGCCGGATACTGGGGTACCCCGCATCTACGTGCCGATGTTGATGCGCCCATGGGTTGTCCGTGCTTGTCACACGACTGCTTCGTTTCATATGGGAATACACCCCACTTCACGGCTGCTGGAGCGCTCTTATTGGTGGTCCGGAATGGATCGCTCGGTTCGCTGGTGACTTCGGTCGTGTTTCGTGTGCCAGGCTCGCAAGATTTCACGTCAGCCCGCTCGATGGCCTGAAATTCCCATGCCTGTGCCACAAGGTCCCGGAATTTTGGTAGGAGGCGATTTTTTCGGACCTCTGCCGGTGACTGCCAAGGGCAACACCTACATTTTACTGTTCACGGATCGCTTT